CCCTACATAAAACTAGTAAAGATGGTATTTTGGAATGTTAAGTGGTTCTATCTTCAGGCTAGTCTGAACGGAATCATAAAATCTTAGAATGTGTCTTTCTATTTATTTAACATACTCGTTATCCGTTGGACCCTGTCCTTCAGGCTCATATGCTGAGCACCTTTAATCCCAAATGGACTTGAAATCAAAATTTAGAAGTTTAATATGTGGTATTAATTTAATCCTGGGTCATGTTCTTTTTGATAAACATTGTTTATGTAGCTGATTGAAAGTGGTAGCTCACACTCTGGATGGTAAACTGGATTTTAAAAAGTATATATCAAAATGTATGTAGTGGAAAATAAACCCAAGAAATCTCTACTTCAGTTTGAAGTAATTTCCTTCTGAAATTTTACTAAGTTATTTTCAGTCTAATCAAAACAGATAGTAATTTTCCACTGTGTATTTTTTTTTACTTATCTGTATTTTGAAGCAGATGCACACCCCTATTTCCTTTATGTCTTCAATTATTTTTTTAATCTTTATATATGGATAGGTTTTCCACTCTTCTGGATCATTTGCACAATGGAATTAATGAGTTTACTGTAATGTGATTTTCAGTACAGTTAACTTGAAGTAAATGGATATGAAAACACAGCTTCCCAAAGGTGCAAACGCCTGAGGGGTATTCACCTCCGTCGTTCAGCTGCAAGTCATTTTTAATACTTCTGTGTTCCACCCAGAAGTAGTGCATATGAGCCTCTGGACAGTGAAACAGATGGTCTCTTTAGATAGGAATTATGAAAATGAGAATAAATATTTCATACTTTTTAAATTTTGTGCAAGTTTTAAGGGATTTTCCTGTCTCTAGTCCCAAGTGTGTTTTTCTTACTGATACCAAGAAGCAAGAGGAGATTATAAATGGCCTATAGTGCTTAATTCACAGGCTTGCATTCCCTGGTTGCTGTTCTGATTTCCAGAGTGGAAATTCTGCTGATGCTGCTCTCAGTGAACTGGGTCCTCTCTCCCAGGCTGAAAACTTTGTAGCCATAGGGGAACATAGCTTATGTACTGTAGCTTGCTGTAACTTTTAGACTAGTTCCTCTTCTCTTTCCATCTTTGGATCTCTGCAGGTGGACTTGTTTCTCAAGGAGTTGTGGGCACTTCTAGGGGCAGCGTATGTGGCCAATATACTTTATCTTTATTGTGAACAACACTAGAAATACCATTAACGCCCTCAAAGAGTGTTGGTGAATGGTTTGATGTCCAATTGGAGACCAGTGACAAGTGGTGTTCCTCAGGGATCGGTATTGGTCAGTATTGGGACCAGTGTTGTTTAACACCTTTGTTGATGACACAAACAGTGGGATCGAGTGCACCCTCAGCAAGTTTGACGATGACACCAAGCTGTGTGGTGCGGTCAACATGCTGGAGGGAAGGGATGCTATCCAGAGGGACCTGGACAAGCTGGGGAAGTGGGCTTGTGTGAACCTCATGAGAACTGAAACAGTCATGTCATAAATAAAAGAAAGTGTTTATAAGGTTCATGTTAGTACTTTCTTTTGTGACACTACTTTAACTATGTATTATTTGTTTTATTTGTTTTATTTGACCTGTAGGTCACTGATATGATGCTTCAGGACAAACCCTACCCAGACTGGGGAAAGTCTGCCAGAGCATTCTGGAAGAAAGGCAACATTAGGATCATTTTATTCTGGTAGGAAAACAGTAGAACTGAATTGTTGTAAATGAATCTTTTATGGAGCATCCAAACCCATATCTTGTAATTGTGGTAGTAAGAAATATATGGTTGTATATATATATATATATGTATGTATGTATATGTATGTGTGTGTATATATATAAACATAGATATATGTGTATAGATGTGTATATATATGTGTATATGTATTTACACACACATATATACACAAGTGTATATGTATGTATATATGTATATGTATATATAAAAATATATGGTTGGAAAAAATGAAACTTGGTCTAACAAAAAATTAAACATTACAAAAACTGTACATGAGTGAAAAATTCCTAATCAAAGCAGTTGGTGTAAAAGCGCAATTTTTACAGTTATTTATATTTCTTCTTTTATTATATCTTTGATGCTGTTTATTAGTGAGTTGCAAAATTTTTTACTATATTTAATAATATTTACATTTCCCATTGTCAGTCCTTGTAATTAAGGATAGTAGATATGTAGTGTCCTTTTGTGGCCTTTAAATTAATTACAGCAATTCTTTGAATTAACACATGAATGGAATTTCAAATAGTGAGTCAGCCTCAGATTATTAAGAAAAATAATTAGAAATCAATAGGAAAAAATGCAAGAGATAAGTGTTTATTTGACCCCAAATATAGCCTGTTCCAGGTAAACTACAACTTAAAACAGAAAACAAATTGTGGCAGGAAAAATTGAAGATGGAAAACGTATAATTTAAGAGACCACTTGAAGAATTTATAGCTGAAGATGAAAGAAACTGCAGTGATCTTTTTCAACTGCATCAGAAGCAGAAAACCTCATGAAAATATCAGCAGACCTGCTACTTTTTAAAGACTTTCGGAAGGAATTATAACAGAGAAATTGAAAGATTTACAAGGATTCTGCTACAGAAAATGCAATGAAATATCTATACTTTCGAAGTCATAAAAATGATATACTGCATTAAATTGAGTCAGTTAAGGGAAATAATAATTTAAGAACTAAAGAGAAAACAATCGGATAGTTAATTGGCTACAAAATTTATAAGGAACCGAAGGGGCTGAGCTGATGCAAATTTTAATTACCTGCCTGCTGAAAAACTGAGTGATAAAATTTGTTGCTTTTTTTTTTTCAACAAACTAGAATTATCCTGCTGGCTTGTAAATCTGAGTTCGGTATTAGCTAAACAGATTTAATACATCATCAATAATAGAATTATGAACAAAATTCTAGATTAAATTTTGCTGAAAGAAGTCAGAGTATCTTTGCTGAAAGAAAACCCTCTGTGATCCGTTAGAACTCTTTGAACATGTCATGAAAATAATAGATGAGAAAGGAATGCTTGATCTAATTTATTTGGACTTACAAAAGGCTTTTGACAAAGTTCTTTACTGAAGGCAATTAAGAAAACTAGTAAGCCCCGTGGAGTGTGCTGAACGTTTAGGAATCATCTCAGAAATGTGCAATGAAAGATATAAATAAAACAATAATTTTCTGCTACATTGACAAGATAGGGATGTCTCATTATTTAATGGTAGAAGTAGTATTCATGTTTTGTCTACATCATATATATTAGTGACATGACAGAATTTAAAGATTAAGTGAATAATTTAACACATGCTAGCATGGAAGAGGGATCTTAGGTAGGTGGAAAAAGTAACATGATTGAATTGTTTGAATTAGGGGGGAAGGGGCTCACACAACTCCTTGCCATCCTTGAAGGATGTGCAGAGCAAGATTCTGTTTCAGTGTGCTGGGATGGGCAAAAAGGTGAAGCAGAAAAATACAAAATTGCACAGATAGGTACCATGTGGGCTAGCAATGATTGCAGTGTCATTTGGTTAAGTCAGCGAAAAGCTCTGCCTGGAACATCATTGATTTTTTTTACCCTTGTCTGAAGAATAGCCTTGTCTGAAAGACTGGAAAGGAGATTACTTAAGAGTCAAGAAAAAACTTAATTACACAAAAAGGTTGGAAGAATGGAGAAAATGGTTAAAAGCAAGATGACGTGATAGGGAGTTTTCAAATTTGCATGCCAGACAGGGAGAAAAATAAGACACTATTAAAAGCACTTCAATATGGTTGCGAGACATGTTTTGACTTCTTGCAGTCTGAAATACTATAACTCTGTATTTTCTTTCAAATAATATTCACATTAACAAATCTTACCAAAAGTTTAAAATGGAGATAAAGTAAAAAATGATGGTTCTTTTTATGCATGATTCTCATACTAAAGAGTATGCTTAATGGGGATTTCAAAACCTAAAGTGTAGCATAAATGCTTTTATTTTTAGCTTCAAGCAGTGAAACAGAGTAACCCTGGGAAGCCATCTACATTCTGTAGAGATATTATTTAGATAGTGCACATTAGATATCAGTAAAAGCAGACTTTTTTTTCCCCCTAATAGCTAGGAAAAGTAGCGGAGGAAGTTAGGGTATTGATAATGTTATGCATGATAATGTGGAATATTTGTATTTCATTTATTGTTGTTTAAGTGGTATTATGTAAGCAGCCTCATTTCTGAAATAACCTGAATGAAACATCCTCAATAGTATGTCCTACACAGATACTGGTATGCCAAAATGCATTTATTCAGGACATTTCCTAGTGGCACACCTGTTTAGCAGAGATAGTGTAAAACAGTGCACTGTATTTTAATTATTCCAAATATGGTGTGATGTGATGCACAGTTTGAAGTGTTTAATGAAATTATAATTTTAGGTATATACTGGACTTGTTTTTATGTTAACATCATTTTTTTTCCAGGTTTAATGTGTAAAATTAGAAAACGTCTAGAGATTAGAAATTAGCAAACATAACGGAGATAGATTGATTGTCATGGGGATGAAGGCACCATCCACTTGTTTCTATCACTTGATCGTGTGACTGCTTTGTGTTTCTCATTTGGAAATTTTTTCAGCTCTCCAGTGCAACTAATTAGCAGAGGTTTTGATTTAGCTTATCATCTCCTATTTTAAATTATTCCCTCAAAACATTGTCGGTGACTGGTTGTTGGTTGCTCCTGAGGATTCTGTCTGCCTTTTAAAGTGCCTTCACAATATAATTTTTCCACAAACTGCTCAGCTAGCTCAAAAATATCCATTTGCTACTTGCCTTTGTCTAGCCCACCACTAAGGAGTATATTGAAATGCCTTTTTTTTTTTTTTGCAGTAAGGGTTTTTTGTGTTTTTTTTTATAGAAAGATTCCCACTTTTGTCGTTTCCAGCTGTACTTGTGGCTAATTCCACCATCCAGAGGCGCATTGCATAATGCTGTTAAAGTCCGTGTTACTGTACTTGTGGCTAATTCCACCATCCAGAGGTGCATTGCATAATGCTGTTGAAGTCCGTGTTGTGTTGCAGAGGGATGCGATACAAATGCAAACACACTTCCTTACAGATTTAAGGAAGCAGGTTGTCAAAATGGCTTTTATAAAGCAATGAAGAATCTGGAACCCTGGTGGAGTTACTGGGGTACTGCAGACATGTTTGTGGGTTATGAAGGAGATACCTGCAGGGACTCACATATCCTCAACACCTGGCAGCCAGATGAGGCTGTGGTGGAACAACAAGTTGTCTCCAGTGCTGTGTGGTTACCAGCACTCCTGCAAAGTTATAAGCATGAATTGAAATTGGCTAATTTATATTTTTCAGGGGATATGTTGATAATTTTGCTGGTTTCGGAGAGACAAATTATTTATGATGCAAGGGGATTGACATTTGAAAGAAGCAACAAGCAAAAATGACTGCTAAACTAAGCCAAATAAAGATCTTGGACAAGAGTGATGACAAGCCAATAGCAGTAGCTAGTGATAAGTTAAATAAATAGGACAATATAGAACAGTAGTTACTTTTACTGTTGAATGTTAAAGGAGTCAGAGAGAGAAGTACAATGGGAGAAGATTAAATATTTTGCAAATAATTTTTTATTCCTCTGGAACATGGACTAAGTCCAACCTACACTGAAGGCCTCTTTTTATAAGGATTTTTCAGTAAGGAAACCAGTTGTTAAAACAGAGGAAAGACAATAAATATATTAAAAATGAACTACAAATGGAAGAGAATAATGTTAAGAGAGTTCATGAAAAATTACTTAAAACTAATTTAGTAAATTTAGGGGGTATCGATTTTTATAGTATTACAGTATTGCCAAGGGTTAGGGCTGGAACAGCCACTAAATGACTGACATGCTCTTTATTAACCCCTCTCCCTCCCTAAAGGGGAAGGGAAATGGAATAAGACATAGAAATTTACAGATTGGAAAAGAAAACTAAAGCACCTTTAATAAAACAATAATGATACCAATAAGAAAATAATGAAATATATAAAACCCGATCTGATGGCAATCATCACTGATGCTGCAGAGCAGGTGGATACTGGGGAAGTCCCAGATCAGACTCAGCAGCACTTGAGAATCATATTCAGGAGCTGGATTCAGGAATTCATGGATTGAGATCGAGGGCAGAAGAACAGACGCAGTCCTCTTTGCACACCAGCCATTGATGAAGAGGGTTTAACCCTGAATACGATGTACATGGAACGGAATACTTCGTTAGTTCTGTGTACTTTTTGTGATGTTATCTCTTCTGGTAGCAGGTATAGTCTGCAAAAATATGCTGTTAATTTCAGAAAGTGCAGCCTCTTAGAAGAGACTGAGCTGGAAAGTAAAATCACTGGACTGGTTGTGGTTTAGCTCAAGCCAGGGTGAGTATTTATAGTATTTTTCCAAGTGAACAAGCCATCCAGTATTGACCTTTCTTGATGGTTACACCAAGGTTTGCTGAGAGCATTACACTCTTACACATCTGCACAGGAGTGAACCCCTCACAAGCATTACATAGACGTGGTGGTGTTAAAGGCAGCACACACTGATGCCACAGTATGTGCTCGGGTTATACAGTCATCACAGGACCTGAGCACTCTTTCTTGACAACTGTTCCAATACTAATTGTCCTCAAAACTTCCCTAAAAAAGAGGTGATGAGGGGGGAGTGGGATTAC